ATCGTCTTTGCCCTTGCCTAATTTGTGCTTTGTCGATTATTATTAGTAAAGTTTTTCTATCTTTCTCGATCTCATTATCACTCTGTATAACTATCTTTCTATTTCTATCTTTTTGTTGAATATTATGGTCAATATAATTTTTTATTACATAAATTGCTTTTGTTCTTAAGCTACACAGACGATATGAATTCAAATGAGCATAAAGATAAACGAAGACATAGAAAATTATATTTGGAAAATAGAAGATCCAATCTTATGTCCACCACGTCAATTGGTAATTTTTTATATATAACCCAATTTACTTTTATTTTCAATCATGTTTTATATTTGACTTATGTTGTGCAAATATTATTTTATATCTTATGATGTATTATATCACATAACTATCACATCATGTAATAACACATTCTTAATATTATATATACATTGTAGGTATTGCTCAACAACATTCACCCCGTTCAACCAATTCTACATATGTTCGCATCGATAATGAAAATGTCAATCCAAATATATCATATGCATATCAACATACAAATTTCCAATCTACTTCAACTTTTAATATTAAGAATCCATTGTCTGTTGCTGCCAAAGAGAACAGAAAACTTAGAAAATTATATTTGGATAAGAAAAGATCCAATCATTTATCAACAACGCCGTCTGGTATGTCTTTTTATTCCTATGACACCGGTTTTTATTGCATTTTAAACATATTTTATTTTATACACATTCCCCAAATTCTGAAATCCTATTGTCTTTTACCTATACTCTTCTATACATTACAATTTATATTTCATTAAGATATTGTTATAATTTCACACCTAATACCTAGCACGGTCAAAATTTATTTCAATTTTTTTAACATTGGTATTTCATAAATCCCTTATATAGTACGTGTAATTATATGATTACATTTATTTTTTTATATTTTTCTTATTTATCTTATCTTAAGATAAATGTTATGTGTACTGTAACTTACATATTCTTTATTTTTTTACAGTCATTTCTAATATAACTACCAACATTCAAACACCATCATCAAACAAGTTGGCATATCATGGTGGTAACAATCAAAATGTCACCACAACTTCTTCATATGGATATCAACAAACACGTGTTCAATCTACTTCCAATATCTATATCGATACTCCATTATCACACAACGCCAAAGACAAACGAAAAGAAAGGAAAAATTATTTGGATAAAAGAAAATCCAATCACATATCCACCATGCCAATTGGTATATCATATATATCATCTTACTTCTTTTATTTTATCCATCTATAGTTATTATAAATATTTTAATAAATATTATGTTCTTATATGTGTTTCTTTATTATTCCATAATTAATACATATTTATATTAACATATATTACAATTATAGGTAATAATGGTCGTCATCAAGAACGTTTTGAAGACGCTTCTAATTTTACTACAAGAACTCCGTTGTCCAACATTTACCAATGGTATAACTACGCTTTTATCCAGCATATTGTTTCTTACTATATATGGTATACATATTATTATAATATGTATGCATTTTTATTTTTTCATTTTTATCAATTTACTTTATAAATTTAATACTAAATATCATACTTTTATTTTTAGTCAACGGAGAATGTTCAGTCTTGTGTCGTGACATGAGACCTATGACTTCATCTTCAATCACTCGAGACTATTCCAACAATTTATTGCGCAAAATATAAATAAAAAAAGGAAGTTTCTAAATACTACTCACATACCCATTTTCGACCTAACGTCAGAAGAAGAGTTTCGTGATCAACAAATCCATAAACTAACTTTAACTTCAGGTGCCACAAAAGGTAACATTTAATTTAAATTTATCATCCACCTTTCTTTATAAAACTATTACTCATCTAAACATTAATTTAGTTCAAACTTTATCATACATTTTTATTAAACAGATTACTTGGACCATGGTGATCAGACTTTTGTGTGTACGATGTGTCATGCACAGTTATGGAGGGATGAAGCACGTAAAGGCAATGCTTCTGGAAAGAAAACTTCTTTTTCCCTTTGTTGTGGCAATGGAAAGGTCGAGCTTCCTCAACTAAAAGAACCGCCTAAAAATTATGAAAATCTCTTTCGTGTTGTTGATCCAAAAGGAAAAAATTTCATGAAGAACATCCGTCGATTCAATTCGATGTTTTCCTTTACTTTAATGGGTGGAAAAGTTGATTCTTCAATTAACAAAGGCAATGCTCCATATGTTTTTAGACTTAGTGGTCAAAATTATCATTGCATGGGAAGTCTTCTACCTATAGATGGATCGAAACCAAAGTTTTCGCAATTATACATATATGATACTGAAAATGAAGTTTCAAATCGACAACAAGCGTTCAGGTATTTCTTTATACGTTTTTTATAAACCATTAATTTTATATATTTCATATAATTATTAACTTGCTAAATTTTACATATAACCGTTATTCTTAACAGTACACAAAAAGAAGGGTGCACATCAACTTCTCATTCTTTTGATATCGAAATTATACAGTTTTTTGAAGGACATGTTGGATTCAACGAATGAGTTGGTTAAGTGTTATAGAATGGTCAGAGATTGTTTTGATGAAAATCCTCATATAGATGTAAAGTTACGTCTTATAGGAAGAAGGCAACAAGATGGAAGGACATATAACTTACCTTCTGCTTCTGAAGTTGCTGCTTTAATTGTTGGTGATATTGGTGATGCAATTGATAACAGAGATATCATCGTAAAAACTAAATCAGGAAGTCTACAACGTATAAACGAATTACATCCTTCGTACCTTGCTCTTCAGTATCCACTACTATTTCCATATGGGGATGATGGATATAGAGTTGACATCCCTCACAGAGATTTTGATGATTCAACGAATAGCAAACGTCGTAACTGTACAATGAGAGAATTCTTTTCTTATAGAATTCAAGACAGAGTTAATGTTTTTTCATTAATTCTTAATTCACGAAGGCTTTTTCAACAATTTTTGGTTGATGCTTATACGATGATTGAAACTGAGAGACTATATTACATACGTAATCAGCAAAAAGTTCTTAGATGTGAATCGTATGAAACATTACGAAACGTACAAAGTGATGGTCGTACTGATATTTCCAACATCGGAAAACGTGTTATCTTGCCTTCTTCATTTACGGGTGGTGCACGCTACATGATGCAAAACTATTTAGATGCCATGTCGCTTTGTAAGTGGTTTGGATACCCAGATTTTTTCATAACCGTAACATGCAATCCAAAGTGGCCTGAAATTAAAAGGTTTCTTGCTGACACCACACTTAATCCCGAAGATAGGCCCGATATCCTTTCCAGATTATTCAAAATCAAGTTGAATTCTTTGATTAAAGACTTAAAGAAAAGCGTTATTGGGTCGGGTCCAAGCAGGTACCTTATAATACAATACTTTTTTATCATTATGTTTTTTATTATATTATAATATTATATTTATTTTAATAATTTACAGTTGTTTATACTGTGGAGTTTCAAAAGCGCGGTCTGCCTCATGCACATATATGTTTATTCATGCATTCTGATTACAAACTCCCAACTGTTGAACATATTGATCGAGTTATTTCGGCTGAAATTGCAAACAAAGAAAATGATCCAGAATTGTATGCACTTGTCAGTGAGTTTATGATGCATGGTCCATGTGGTTCTGATAATCCTAAATGCCCATGCATGATTGACAAAAAGTGTTCAAAAAATTTCCCAAAGTCATTCTTAGAAAATACCTCAGTCGATTCTGATGGTTATCCTATATATAGGAGACGTAATGATGGATCTTTTGTTGAAAAGTCTGGTGTTAGGTTAGACAACAGAAGTGTCGTTCCATATCATAAAGCCCTTTTGAAAAGATATCAGGCTCACATTAATGTTGAGTGGTGCAATCAAGCGGCTTCCATCAAATATTTGTTTAAATATATTAACAAGGGTCCTGATTGGGCTACTGTTGCAGTTGTTCAAAACAACGGAGATGATAATGATGATGTTTCTGTTGATGAAATACAAAACTACTATGATTGTAGGTATTTGTCTGCATGTGAAGCTTCATGGCGTATATTTGCATTTGATGTTCATTACAGATATCCTTCTGTTGTAAGGCTTCCATTCCATCTTCCTGGAAAACAAAATATTGTATATGGAGCAGACGATGATATTGAAGATGTCGTCAATAAACAATCGGTTTCTTCTTCGATGTTCTTATCTTGGATGAGCTGTAATGAACATAATGCTGATGCACGAAAACTTTCTTATGTTGAGTTTCCTACAAAATTTGTATGGAAACAGGAAGATCGTTGTTGGGAGCCAAGAAAACAAGGGTTTTCTATTGGAACAATTCACACAGTCTCGCCTAATTTGGGTGAAGCATATTTCTTGAGAATTCTTTTAAATAAAGTCGAAGGGCCGAAATCATTTGAAGATATTCGCAAGGTTAATGGACAAGTCTGTCCTACTTTTAGAGATGCATGTTATGCGCTTGGACTTTTAGAAGATGATAGAGAAATATTGATG